CAGCTAGCTACTCCCCAGCTCATCTTTTTTCTCTCCTACATGATTCAGCCACACCTATGTGGTATTGTTGCTGTTAAGTGTCATGTAGTTGGTTTTCGAATCCTACCAACCCCATGTAACATAGTAGAAATACTCTAGAGGCTTTTCTAGGCTATCATCTTGATGGGAGTAGGATCACTAGGTCTTGTCCCACAAAGAGCCGCTGGATAGGTTTGAACCATTGACCTTGCAATTTGCTTAGCCATAGCACCCCACAGCTCCTTGGGACTGTATGTAGTATATCTGGATCTAAAATAGACAGTATCTACTGAAATGTAGATACATACATTCACCCATATTCCCCCACCCCCCTCAAAGATAGCTTTGTTGTTGAGTGCCGTGTAGTTTTGGTTCTGATACATTGCGACCCTGTACAGGGTTTCTGAGGAGCAGCTAGTGAGCTTGAACCACCGACCTTGCAGTTCAAATGGCTTATCTACAGCTATTCCAATGCCTCTCATGCTCTCTTATTTATTTATTTATTTATTACCATTTTAAAAACACCTTGGGGAAGGATTTCTAAATCCAAGCAGTGCAATATCTTCTCACAAAAAGGCCATTTTACATTGCCACAGTGACGGCATAAACAACAGTAATAAACGCTTTCAGTTAGATGTCAGCCTGGATAAAATGCTTGGCTTATCTGGAAAGAGCTGTTATTTGCCACCAATTACATCCTTGTATTGTATTCCTTGCTGCTACCAAATCCAAATGGCAGCAAAGAGAAGAAGAGAAGGAGGGGAGAGCAAAGGGACACGAATGAAGAGAAAAGGAGGAGAATGAAGTAATTCCTTAACTTACGCAGAGAAAACTAGGTTACATTGAAAGTAGCTCATTTCAAATGATAAAGAGGTCACTGGGCCATTAGGTAACTGGTTCAAATACCAAACATTCTGATTCTGCATCTCAAAATAGACTTGCTACCTGGGGCTGCTCCAAGAGGCCCCAGAGGTGCCTTCAATAGTTAGGGTACTAAACATGACTAATAGAAAGAAAAAATATTATAGTCCTCTGCTCTCGTCTCCACAGGGGATATATTCCAAGACCCCCAGTAGATACCTGACACCACAGATTGAATTTGAACCCTATATCAAAAGTGTTTTTTCCTATACGTACATACTTATGATAAAGTTTAATTTATACATTAGGCACAGTAAGAGATTTACAGCAGGAAGAGAGAAAGGAATAGCCAGAAATATCACCATAGAAAACTTGTAAGTCTGTCTTCTGCCTATAACTGATTGGAATACTTAAAAAGAGTCTACAACGTGCCCAGTGAAGAAGGTTTCCTGCGGAGCCTCTGCATTACATATGACTATAGGTGGAATCCTGAACCCCATCCAGAATCTTCTGAGGTGGGAAATTTCCACTGGAAAGGACAAGCAGACCAGCCTAGAGTGGTTAGGAGAACAGTAGATAGCTTCTTGAAAGAAGACCAACAGGTAAAATTAAAAAAAACACTAACAGCAGTCCAACTGAACAAGCAAGTTGCAAGCCCAGGAGACATCAAGGCAAGAGGTTGGGTCCCCTCAGGGCAAACCCCCTTCCAAGACTCAAGGGGAAGACATGAGCAGGCATGCGGTCTGGGTCTGATTGGTTACCACTGGTCACTGATAAGGGGAAGTGAGGGAAAAACAGCAATGAAGCTGCAAGCTAAGTCCAACCACGTTCAATACACTCTTGTAAACCTGGGTGGAGACCTGGTTGGCCATCAGTTTGGTAAGACCTGGGGACTCCTGGGTCCAGAGTCACTGACATAGCCAAAGAGGACTAGAGTGGAGAATGAAGTGTTCAGCTGAGAAGAAGAGAGGGCATATGTACAAGAACACCTACACTTGTAGATAACACCCACTTGACCTGGCTTCAATGATCAGAGCTCAACTAGAAGGAGAAAGAGGAAAAAGAGTAATCTGATACAATTTGATGAACTTGACCTATACCTATAGATGCGGTAGCTCAATAGAAGGAACAAATCTTTACAGCAAGGATCATTCCCACCCCCTCCATACACAGAGTAGACAGGGATGGGCAACTTGGACATTGGCTATCCAAAATGGTGGTGGTGGGGGCTACAAAGGCAAGAAGTTACTGGCTTACAAGCTTTCAGGAGGGAGCCTAGATTCAGAGGGCGTGGAGGAAGGTAGAATCTCCACTGAGTAGTATCCAATCTGTCTGTGCGGGAGATGTTGTACTCATGCGGTACAGTGAATAATTACTATCAGGACTGACTGTGACATTTGGAAATATAAAGATAGATGTTTTGTAGCAAAAGGAAGGAAGTGGTTGACTTTATAGGCCAGGAGCGGGAGGCTTCTGGGACCATCAAGGGAAAAGAGTGGAGTGTGGGACCCTACCCAGACAAACAGTGACGCCAGAGATGGAGGCAGAGATGATGATGTGCAGAGATGATGATGTGGAGAGATGGAACAGCTGGGGACTCTGGACCCAGAGAGGGAGAGAGGCTGTGTGCTGACCACGGGGGGGGGGGGGGGACTTGCAGGGTGTACCCTTTGATTGGTTGATGATGCCTGGAGGGGATTGTAATCATGGCAATGTAACGATATATACGATAGGATGAATGTAGACCTAATGTTCTCCCATGTAAACAATCACATAATTCACAATAAAAGTTTTTAAAAAAGAGAGAGATTAACAGCAATAAGCAACAAGAAAATCAGAACAATTACTAAGTAAAATCAGTGTGACTTGAACACAAGCACTACAATACCACCAGAGCTGAGCGGGTCACTGAGACATAAAGGTGATTCACGTCCAGGACAGAGCAGCAAGAGATTGCATCACACCACTCAAAATGGTGAGCAATTGAAGACTTAGGATTTGCTTGGGTTTTTTTGGAATTTCCCATATAATAATTTTTGGACTGTGATTAACCGCTGGCAACTAAAACCTCAAACCGACTCCAGACTCCAAGGCACACAGCTACCAACCACCACTACCTGAAACCTCAGGAAAAATAAAACAAAAACCGAAACCACAGATAAGGGACCAGGGGAGGGAGCTACTATATACGTTAGGGAGTGAGGTGGCTCAGTAGGATAAGCACTTGACTACAAACCACAAGGTTGGCAGTTTGAGTCTACCAGTTGCTCTATGGGAAAATGATAAGGCTTGATGCTCCCACAAAGATTTACAGCCTCAGAAACCTTATACAGGGCTATTATGAATCATAAATGACTCCAAGGCACTTAACAGACAATAACACTGTATACCTTTCAGGTAGCAGCTTCCTTATTCAGTTTGTCTGCACAACAAGAGAAGTCATTCAGAACACTAGTACCTTTGATGGATAGGGCAGGCTGCATGCCAGTGAAGGGTACTGTGTGGTGGACCAAAAGATCTTTCTGGACATCTGTTCTCCTGTATCTTCACAACCTCTGCACAAATACCTCAGCCTCCTTTTAATGCTTTCTTGAAAACCAGACCCATTGGCGATGTACTAAAAGCTGTAGACCTTTTCCTAGAAACACACACGTGCACATACGCACACTTTTACATAGAACCTCAGACAATTCATACATCGATTAGAATCCACACATATGACCTCCTCAAGGGCACATGGACCTAAAGTTTTAAAACCTCTGATCTATAGGGAAAAATAGTGAACATTTATGGAGTGTTCACTGTCTAACAGCTGCTATTCTAAATGTTTTAAATAGATTTTCTCAGTCATGCTAACAAACCCTTTGGAGAAAGGACTATTCTCTATTTTCCTTGTCACTTGCTACAGGTCAAACAGCCAGTAAGTGGCAAAGTCATGATTCAAACCCAGGCTGTCTGGCATGGAAGCCCCTCCTCTGAGTTGCTAAGTAACAGCTGTGAAATGAAAATGTATATATCATTTTAAATTGTACACAGTTAAAATTGAAACAGATCCTGATCATAGCAAAGTCCTGGTGTGGCACTGTTGGATCAGCACTGGACTGACTGCTAATCAAAAGATTGCGGTTCAAACCCACCAGCTGCTCCTCAGAAACCCTAACCAGAGTCTCTATGAGTTGGCACCGACTCGATGGCATTAAACAACAGCAACATGACCATAGCAGCTTTCTTTTTTTTGGGGGGGGGGGGCGGGGGGCAGACATGGAATAATTTGCCTCTCCAGAGAGATCTGAGAAGGTAGAGAACATGTGAAACACTGGAGGAGAGCTGCTTGGCCAAGTAGCTCACACCCGCTACTAACTACTACTCACACAACACAGAATGAAAGCTAGGCAGACCCTCTACTTGACTGACAATAATAGGCCTGTGGTACTAGTATCAGCCTTTAAGCTCTAAATTCTTAATCCAGTATACTGTGGTGGTTGTGTGCCATTGAGTTGCTTCAGACTCATAACGAACCTATTTCTGAAGGTGTAAACCTTTACGGGAGCAGAAAGCCTCATCTTTCTCCAGTGGAGCAACTGGTAGATTCAAACTGCTGATCTTGTGGTTAGCAGCCCAGTTCATAATTCACTATCCTACCAAGGGTCCTTAATCTAATACAGTAGTTGAGATTAAGTCTAGGGCCATAAACTTAAATACCGACAGGAACCATGCAAAATGTCTCATGCAAAAATGTGAGACACAGGATGGGATGAGACAGTGGGAGGTGATGGGGGCCAGGACCAACTGAAGAGTACATGTCCTGTCTTAGCTAGAAAAATCCAGGAGGGTCAAACAAAGAACATATTCAGACTGTAGGCCATCGGTTAGCAACCTTTGAGTAGACTTCTCTCTTCCCACCCTCCCTGTAAGAATTTTGAAGTCAGGAGTCAAGCATGCAGCCTGTGAGTAGGAGACACAAGCTAGCCCATGTGAGAAATCAGTGTTGTGAGTTCCACTTCACTAGAACCATGCTTTCACACATGCTGACTGAAGAAGCAGGTAGGTGGCTAGCAGAAAGATGCAGGCATCAGAAAGGAGGAAACATCAGGTGGTAAGTGACCGCAAGCAGCACATACCTCATACAGAGTGAGCATTCAAGGTCAGATGCATCAAAAGAGGCGACCGGGCTATTGAGAGCAGGTTTGGCCTCCAGATCCGTGGGTGAATCTGTGATTTAGAAAGCACTTAGTCAGAACTACACCACCCTTGGTTCCACAGATAGTAAGTACTTCTGAAGCTAAGAGGACCCAATTTCTATTTTTGTTTTTCAGCTGTTACTCTAGCTACCTCCCAGAGAGTTGATTTCATGACCACCTGAGTCACTGAGGATGGGAGACCCTGATATAGACACTCACAGGGTTCCAGCAGCCTGAGGCATCCTCCCAGTGAGAGAGAGAGAGAGGCACACAAGTCAAGGCCCATGGGACTTCACTCCAATGTTACAAGCACCCACTCAACCAGGCAGCATCAGCAACATCTCCATGAAGTGAGCTCTGCCAAACCCTCTTGGAAAAGACTTCAAGCAGCAGCTGCTGCTTCCCAGAGGCTTAGTTATAAGAGCACAGCTGGGCAGGAGCAGGGTAAGCCCTAATCACACTGCTCTGGCCCTACATTTCTACATGGAGGCTGGGGGAAGTTAGCCAGGAAGGAAGGGACACTGTGGAAGGCATAGGTTGGCATTACTTGATGCCTGGCTTGACTATCTGCCTTAGCTTTCTAGTATGATTGCTGACCACATACAATGGGCTAGACCCCAGGCATTATCATACAGAAACCTCCAGCAACCTCTGAGGTCACCAGCTGGTTAAGTGCTATGGCTGGGTCACACATCCAGAGAGAAAGTGAAGAGGTCCCCCATTGGGGAGGCTGGAATAAGACATTTGCATAGGCTGCTGAGTGAAGCATATCCTTCCAAGTCTTTCTCCCTGGGTAGAGTTGAGTACCTGACTTGGAAGCTTTCTTAGACACCTCCTGACCTCGGGGTTCAATTTGGCCATGCTTCCTCTTCTTTTCCTGGCATTTTCCAGTCTTAGTGGCATCATCCTCAGGAGAAGCGGCATCCTTCTCCTCCTCTTCTCCTGTCTCGTCTTGTGGCCCATCCACCTTGACTCTAGCTGGACTGGTGTCTGCTTCCTCCTGACTAGAACAGTGAGGAAGCTCCAGGTTTTCCTGGGAGGAGGAAGAGGCGAATATCAGAATCTACTTCAGACCAATATTGTTATGTGATGTGTCTACTTGCATGGGGACAAAACAGGACAAATACAGAGCCCTGAGCCCCACCCCTGAACATTTAGTGAACATCTTGCTAAACACCTTGTTGTCCCTAAGGGCACATTACTTCCCATTTCCTGTCCACGCAGCATCTGCAGCAAAGACGTGTCCAGCCTGGGTGGAGGTGGGGAACTTCCTAGACAAGGTTATAAAGGAATGGATGGTGGTAGGTAGTGTGTGTGTGTGTGTGTGTGTGTGTGTGTGTGTGCATGCGTGCTTGAGTGCGTGCGTGCGTGCGTGCGTGCGTGCATGTGGCAAGGGGAGGTAATCTTTGAGGAGAGGTGAAGGGGAGAAATGCAAAGTGAAGTACCAACCCCACCTTCTGTCATAATCATTCCGCAGTTACATTTAGGTAAAGGCATGGTGGGGGTGGGGGTGCTAGTGTCTGAAGTGAGGCTAGATAGATCACCTGTCACTCAAACCTTCCTTCCACCCTCACTGCCATCCCAGGCCCTCTGGAAATCCCAACCCCCAGCTCCCAGAGGCCTTCTGATGAGTTTTTGGCACAGGTTTGCTCTGAGGCCTGCAGTTATCTCATGTTCTAGAACTGTATGTTCTGCTCATCAAATAAACTAGGGGAAAGAAAAAAAAAAAATTCCTTTCACTAGCTTTTTAAGTAACAAGTCTGAAAAAGAGACAAAACCACCAGGCAAGATCATCAATAATGTCTTTCACCTTTTAAACAATGTTTGCCCAGGAAAGGGAGATTTGTAAAATGGGTCTAGAAAGCAATCCAGTGACAATGTGTCACTGTATAACTTTACCAGGTGCAATCAGAATGATCATGTTGCTGTTTCCCTCTAGCCCTTACCAATAAATGGGAGGGTGGTAGTGGTGGTAGAGCAGAGAGTTAGGAGAAAATACTGAGGTGAGGAGAAAAATGATGTGGCTTTTCAGCATTATAGCAATACAAGGAGCTCTGCTGGCATAAGGGTTAAGCGGTTGGCTACTAACAAAAAAGGTTGGATGTTCAAACCCACCCATTAGCTCTGCGGCAGAAAGATCCAGTGATCTGCTCCTATAATGTTTGTTGTTGTTGTTATGTGCCGTGGAGTCGGTTCTGACCCATAGCGACCCTGTACAGGGTTTCCGAGGCTGTAAATCTTTATGGGAGCAGAACACCTCATCTTTCTCCTGCAGAACAGCTGGTAGAGTTTTGAACTGCTGACCTTGCGGTTCGCAGCCCGATTCGTAACCACTACGCTACCAGAGCTCCTTCCTATAACGATTACAGCCAAGAAAACCCTATAAGGCCGTTCGTTCTACTGCCACACAGGGTCAATGTGAGGTGGAATGAACTTGATGGCGCCCAACAATAGCACCCCCCTACATCGTCAGCATTCCCTCAGGCCAAGGAATTGTCTACACAACAGTGCACTGCTTTCCAAAGCAAACTTTGGATGGAAAGCCAATCCCTGTGCCCTAACAGTGGAATGTAAAATTAAAAACAAAACAAAAAAAAAACAACCCACCAAACTTGTTGCCATCAAGTTGATTCTGACTCATAGCAACCCCATGTGTGTCAGAAGAGAACTGTGCCTTCTAGGATGTTCAATGACTGATTTGGGGGCAGCAGGTCACCAGGCATTTCCTCCAGGGTGCCTCTAGGTGAACTGAAGTTTCCTATCTTTCAGTTGGCAGCCAAGTAGGGTCACTGTTTCCAGCACACAGGGAGCCCCTAGTGGAATGCAAGGGGTGCTAGGTTGCTTCATTTCAGATCGAGCTGCGATTCAAAGTCACTCCGGACACCTCAATTTAGTCTGAGAGTTCCCAGTCATGTCATAACAGTCTCAAACTATTTGGAACTGCACTAGAAGTTCTTGGATTTCAGGAGCTAGCACGAGTGCAACTGCATTTTATTCTTTGTCCAGAACAGGGAGAGAAGCTTGGGGAAATGTAAGGTTTCCACCTGTCAGTACATCCAAGAAGCTACTGAGAGCCCAAGGATTACAAACAGGAAGAAGACAGGGAACGAATAGAGGGCAGACTGTACCCCAGGAGTGTGCAGGTATATTCAGTACAAACCTCGGTCTTCACATCTAGACTTCTGAGCCTCATTTCCTGCCCACTTACCCTCTGTTGGAAAATCCCATCTCTCTGCATAAATACCCTTCTTCCTCTTGGAAATGTTAACTCTATCCCATCCCTAGCTCTTTTCTCTCTTTTCTGCTACAAATAGGTACTGGGAAGCTACTCATGTGTGAGACGTAGTGTAGGGATGTCGAATTGCTTTCACTTGGGAGTCAGATGGAGTTGTCTTTGCATAAAGACTTCAGTGGATGCTAGCAGGTCAGCAGCTTGAACAAACAACACAAGTAAGCCACGAGGGGCTATCGTGTCCTCTTCCCAGGCTCGACCCCTCAGCTGGGAAAAACCCACGCTGTTGTCTAGTTTCAGGGGAAGTGGGCCAATGCCCTTCTAGTGATGGAAAATCTACTTCTTGGCTGAAGTAATAAGTCAAGAAACCAACCAGCCCTGGGGCCATGCCTGAAAGTCAGTTTTAGCTTTAAGCAAGAACCTTAATGAAGAACAGTGACCTCCAGTGATTCCAATTCATCTTTCTCCGGAACTGGAGGCAGTGGAGAATCACTCCCCACCATTTACCCACCAAATAGCCAAACGAAGCACCACGAGTGAGCTGGGTGAGTTGAGTTTTACCTGTGACAACTTTGGTAGATTATGGCTGGTGCCTTCAGTAGCAATTGACTCTACGTGTTCCTTTAATCTAAGCTGAGATGCCAACAGCTTCAGGATATCGGGAATATGTTCCTGAGAATCCCCCGGGACTGATGGTGAAAAGAGACTAAGGAGAAGCTGTGATATAAAACAGAAGACTTCACTACTTAAGTTTCTACAGGTGCTCAGATGGGGGTGAGGGGGCAGCGGGGAAGGAAAGGGCAAAGAAGTGTAGCTTGCAGGGCCAAACTCCAGGGAGCGAGTCTTGGACCCCACGCCCCAACACAGCAAGGTAGACGTCATCAGTGTTCATCAGACTCACCTGGGGGAGGAGAGTTGCTGCAAAATCCAGGTTCCTAGTTCCCACTCTTGTCCCCAGTGGGGTCCAGGAATCTGGATTTTCAAAGGGCACCACAAGGTCTCTGTCACCCCACCCAAGTTAAGAGTCACTGCCCTGGTGCCAGAAATTAATAGCTGCAGTGAGATTTGTAAAACCAACTGGGAGAAAAGAGACAGAAGAAATCAGGAGAAAAACACCAGTTGAAGAACACTCCAATGGGTAGAAATCTACAAATGTCTCCTAGGTTCCTTGCTGTTTCTTTTCTCTGCATCCTACCACCCACCACCCCACCCCTCCATCATTAATTTCCCAGTCTCTCCTCCACAATTCTGGTCTTCACTTTGCAGAGAATGTCCAGTAAGTTCAAGTACTGTACTTGGGGGAGCGGGCAAGCAGGCAGGCAGGCAGGCAGGGTCCACACTATTGCTGGTTCCCCCTGCAATTGGATAAGCAATGTGAGACGAAGCAGAGAGGGCTAGGAGTCAGGCTGCCCCTTCACATGCTTGCTTCAAATCTCCCCTCTGGTAATGACTGCTGTAGTCGTTGTTAGGTGATGTTCAGGTCGGTTTCAACTCAAACCCATTCTGTGCACAACCAAATGAGACATTACCCAGTCCTGACAGCTTCTGTTAAGCTTGAGCCCATTGTTACTGCCACTGTGCAAATCCATCTCATTATTACGACTAGGTATTTATATATCACGGAATACAGGAGGGCAGATCATTTTGTTTCTCAAGCATACTCAAGTGTATACCACCCAGCACCCACTGGAGTGCTTGAAGACCCACTAAAGGGTGTCCCACCCCCTTGGTGTACACAGTTAGAGAATTTCACGGGAAACCAAACTTTCTCCAATTTGATTTGTTCCCTTGCTGGCCCCCTAAAGATACCAGCTTCTTAAGATACCAGCACTTGCCAGGCAGTCAAGGCCTGCTCGGCCTTCAAGGTTCACCTCAAGTGCTGCCTTACTTTATGACTTCAGTCTTCCTGGCCTCTCCCTTCCATCCATGTTCTCTAGCAAATCATCACAGAGCATGTAATGCTACTGTCTTCTGTTCTCTTCAAAGTGTCAACAGATATAAGTCTTTCTCTCCAACCAGACGGCAGGCATCTGGGCAGGGGAAGCATATAACAGAAGTCTAATAGATACATATCATATTGGATGGAATTGAATTATGACATTTCTCCACCCCAGGGTCCAGGGAAAGGCCTGGTGTTCGGCCCTGAAGTCCCCAGACAGGTCCCGGTTTCTTCTAGTCTTGGGGAGACCCACTTCTCAGCTTGAGGTTGGCAAAGAAGTAAGTACGACAGCCAGAAACTATAGTTCTCACAGGCTCTCAGCTCCACTGGGACCCATGATAGCCCTCAAAAGCACTCCCGAGTGACCCAAAAGGCCCAAGTGTGAGGTCTTCCAGTAACAGTAACGTGGCAACCCAAGCTACAAGGATCAAAGGGGAGAGAGTGGCCAGAGGGAAAGGGAGACAGAGAGGAGAGACCTCAGGAAACAAGACAGAAATCACAGCAGTACATCTTCCCTTTACTACCCATATGTTTCTCTTGGCCTTGTTGATGGCTTTGGCACACAAGAGAAAGTCAAGCATTAGACTGAGCATTCCACATGACTGAAAGACAATTCCACTTCAGTGTTATCCTTAGAGAAAGAAGTTCATATGGGTCAAGAAGGGGGTGGGAAAAAAGCGTGAGTTTTGTAAAAAAAAGAAAAGAAAAGAAAAAATTTAAAAAGAAACCCAGGTCTGTGAAGGTCTTCAGCAACTAATTAATGCCAAGTGAACCTAGACCATCTCTGTCAAAGTTGCAACCCTTAAACTAGGACAAGCTAGTAAATAAGCACAGCTGAGGCCCTTCAGTGCTCTGAAAGGGCTGCCACAGTATCAGCACGTTCAGTGGAAATAAGCCTCTCAATTCTCATCCTAACCTCAGAATTCCTCACACTTGGCAGGGGCACAAGGGCTTGCTTGTTTTATCTGGCATTTGGAGTAAATGCAAGAGTACAAATTCCTTGAGGCCTGATACCTCTTTGGGTCTCCCAAGTCGAGCACAGTACATGGTTGCATTCCCTAAGCAGCTGTGGAAATGACACCAGTTGGTCTATAAAAGTGGGATCTCTATAAAAGAGAGGTAAACCCCACTGATGAGACTAGGATCTCTCAGGCCAACCGGGCAATGCACCAACAGGATGAAAGAAGACACTAACCCCTAAGCCTGAGATCTGCCTCTATTGGCCCTTACACACTGTGTCCCTAAAGACGAGGTTCTGCAGACTGCCTCTGTCCATCCCAGAGCTGGAGAGTTCCACAGCCACTCCTGTCCAGCCTTGACCGTGCGTGCTGAGACTCCTGGTCTGGCCTCCTGGGAGAACTGGGGCGTGGAAGGGCTAAGGAGGGCAGGCTTGGAAGCAGACAGTCTCATTTGCATGTTTCCTCACCCATAACTTAGATGTGACTGGAGAAGTCACCAAACTTCTGCTTCCTTATCTGTAACATGGTGCTGTAGGATTAGTTCACTGGACCAACCGCAGGGTCGGTTTGAACTGCAAGGTCGGAAGTTCAAATTCACCAGTGGCTCCTCAGAAACCCTACACAGGGTCGCTATGCATTAGAAACAATGCACTTAACAACAACAACCCTCATAGGGAAAAATCCTGCTGTGACATTGTAGGATAAGCACTGGACTGCTAACTGAAAGGTCAGTTATTCTAACCCACCAGTAGCTTCTTGGAAACCCTATGCAGGGTCACTGTGAGTTGGAACCAACTCAATGGTATTTAACACCCTCAGAGGAATGTTGTGAGATTAAATTAGATCTTCCACATAAAGCCATGAGCACAGTACCTGGTGCATATTGTTGTTGTTAAGTGCGGTTCCGACCCATAGCGACCCTGCACAGGGTTTCTGAGGCTGTAAATCTTCACGAGAGCAGAAAACCTCATCTTTTTCCGCAGAGCAGCTGGTAGTTTCGCACTGCCGACCTTGCGGTTCGTAGCACTACCAGAGCTCCTTATTTGTTGTTGTTGTTGTTAAGTGCCGTTGAGTCGGTTCCGACCAATAGCGACCCTGTACAGGGTTTCCGAGGGTATAAATCTTTATGGGAGTAGAAAGCCTCATCTTCCTCCCACGGAGCGGCTGGTAGTTTCGAACCGCTGACCTTAAGGTTCGCAGCCTGATTCGTAACCACTACGCTACCAGAGCTCCTTATAGGAAATGTTTAATAAATGTTTGTTGTTGCTGTTATGTGCTGAGCCAATTCAGACTCCTCTGAGTCCTGTAAAGGATTTCCAGGGAGCGGATGGTGAGTTTGAATGGCTGACCTTGCGGTTCAAAGCGACCTTGTGGCCCAGTGCTTATCCTACAGCACCACACCAGGACTCCCTCACTCAATGTTGTTGTTGGTGGTGGTTATGTTCATAGCGACCCTGTACAGGGTTTCCAAGGCTGTAAATCTTTACGGGAGCAGAAAGCTTCATCTTTCTCCTGCGGAACAGCTGGTAGTTTTGAACTGCTGACCTTACAGTTTGCAGACCGATTTGTAACCAGACCGATACGCTACCAGAGCTCCTTAGCTGTCCTCATTATACCCCCCTGGTGGCATAATGCATTGGGCTGCTAGCTGAAAGGTCAGCAGTGCAAATCCACCAGTTGCTCTTCGGGAGAAAGAGAAGACTTTCTGCTCCCATAATGTTTTCCAGCCTTGGAAACCCTATACAGGGTCGCTATGAGTCAGAACCGACTTGACAGCATGCAGCACCAGCAGAATTCTTAGTCACACCATGATCTCTGCCCAGGATTTGGGCAAGGGTCCACAGCTTGGAGCAACCCTCCTCCCACTAGCATTCCTCACAAGAATACCTTGTCCACAAACCAGTTCATTCTGCTTCAACACCTTGCTAAGAATTTGCCTTTCCACCCCAAATATATATACAGAATGAGAGTGGACACTTTACAAGATCCCAAAGTGATTCTGATTCAATCTTGGGGTGAAAGGCAAATTATTAGCAGAGGATCAAACCAGAATGAACTGGTTTAAAAGGCTGGTCAAAGCAACTCCCCGGAAAGGAAATCCTCTGTGAGAGACAGGAAATCTAGAACTCTGTTTCCCCCAGTTCACTGTGCCAAAGATTCCTTCCTGGAGTCTTCAGAAGTCAGCTCTGTCTCGTGCTCATTTTCTTCATCCACTGCTCTGCCAAACCACATTGGGACAGTAGTGCCTGGGGTTGTGGTTAACGGGGAGGGGCGAGAGGGTAGGCCAGAAGGAAAACAAAATGACTGACTCTCCGCATCCAACTTCTAGGCCAGTTAGCCAGACACCAGGAGCAAAAATTGCAAAACAATAATCAACAAAGTCCATGAGTGCTTTCAAGTTGGTTCTGACTCAGTGCCTCTGTATAGGTTTTCTGGGGCTGTAAATCTTTATGGCAACAGAAAGCCTCATCCTTCTCCCATAGAGTGGCTGGTGGGCCCGAACCACCAGCCTACAACTTACAGAGCCAACATGCTTCCGTTTTCACTAATGTATTCAATAGTTCAAGTATATCTTTTTAAAAATAATCACTTTCCACTAGGTCCTAAAGTTAGAATGGCTCTTTAGATTATATAGTCTCTGATTAGCATTCGTGAGACAGGTAAGAAGAACCACTTGGTGTGGTGCTGTAGGGTAAGCACTGGACTGCTAACTGCAAGGTTGGTGGTTCAAACCCACCAACAGCCCCTCAGAAACCCTATACAGGGTTACTATGAGTCAGAATGGATTAGATGGCACCTAACAAAAACAATAACATATGTGTTTTATAGGCATAGCTTTTTGTTGTCTTTGCAGGTTTTTTAATTGTATGCTTAATGACAACCCTGCGTCAGGTCAATCTATTAGCCCCATTTTTCCAGTAGCATGTGCTCACTAGGTGTCTCTGTGTCACATACTGATAAGTCTACAACTATTTCAAACATTTTCAGAATGCTATTGCAAACTTTCATAGAGTCCAGTATAATGCAAACATGATTTTTATATGCACTGTGAAACCAAAAATTTCGTGTGACTCGTTTTTATTGGCAGTATTCCTTTGATTGCAGTGGTCTGGAACTGAGCCCACAGCATCTCCGAGGTATGCCTGCATTTCTAGCAATGCAGCTGAAGGCTGGAGTTCTGCACACAAAGGGGAAATGAGGACTAAAGTATCTTCCCATGAACTGCCGCCAAAAAAAAAAAAAAAAAATGGAAAAAGTGTATATAATTGCACCACTCCACATCTCAGAATCTCCTCATTAAGCCTCATTCTCTGTGTTAACTTGATTGGTTTAGTTGGATTTTTTTTTTTTTTTTTTTTTTATCCTAATGACCAGGACCCTGAGTCACAGAAGCCAGAACATTCCTCACAGACACTGACAAAAATGTAGTAACTGCCCAATCTAATGCACCTGCCAGGAGAAGGGTGTTTTTGGACAACTGGTGAGTCACCCACTCAGGACCCCAACTGCCAAAAACCATGGCACCCTCACTCCCCTCCCTAGAGAAGACAAAGATCTGGGAACCCAATAGTCAGCTGGACCATGAGATGGTATTTCAACTCACCTTTTGGGCTTCCCATTTTGCTTTCTTGTTCTTTCCATCGAGAGCGACACAATACAGAAACTCCCTTAGTGCTTCCTCCACCTTGCCTAGAGTGGCTAAGGCTTGAGCTTTTCGGAAATGTGCCTGAAAGAAAAGATTGGCATTCAACCCCATTCTTATTCATCTTATGAATGCTGCTATTATCACTAATAATCACTACACATCAAGTGAGCATTCACTATTGTGTGAAGTATTTTAAAAGGACGACCCATTCCTACAGCCTGGCTTTGAATCCCATTTGAACAAAGATAAAACTCAAATCCAGAAAAGTGACTTGCCCAAAGGAACACAACTGGTTCATTATGGATTCTGGATTTGAACCTGAAACTGCCCAATACCAAAGCCACCCATATCCATGGGTTACAGTACCTTACTACTCCCCCCACCCCCAGCCTTGCTGTCTTGGAGGTATCACCAGATGTAGCAAGACCCTGTATTTGACCACATACTAACCAACTTCCAGGAACTACCCAGATAGGATCTTGTTCTCGCATAAGCAGAGACCTTAGACCATAGCAGAGCCTTGAGCATTTGGTGATCATTTTTCAGAAGTGGCAAAGAGGTAACTAGCACTGTGGTTTTAGGATTCCCAGAATGCTCTTCCCATCAAAGCAGACTGCCCTCAAGACAGCTTAACAGGGGCTGAGTTCATAGGAGCTCAGTTCTCTTCTGCTCCTTCACGACACCCTTAAAAAGTATCCAGAAGTTTCAGGGGTCCTCAGGGTTCAAGCTCAATTGTTCTGAGTGAGGAACTCTCCAAAGAGCATCCTGAGGGAGAGCAGGGAAGAAAGGGAGAGGGCTGCCCTCTCTGTGCTGTGGGACCCATAACTGTTTGCAACTTGGCTTGAAGGGCTTTTCTCTTGAGTCATCTTGGCTGCCCTTTAGTGGCCTTCTCACACTCCCTTGCCTCTCTGGCTGACCCTAAATCTAACAGAAACAGGCCAGTTTGCTACTGCTGAGCCTTGTTGACCTGCCCCTGAAGGCTCAGCAGCCTCCAGCTCTAGCCTGGCTACAGCAGTTCCCAGGCCTCCAAGCCTCCTTAGGATCCTAATCTTGAATGCGAATGAATTTCCTTGTTGCTCTCCCAGAAGTGTTTACACCAGGAGCTTTCTGTAGACAAGGCACCCTGGTGGTACAATGATTAACCAAGGTGCCCTGGTGATACAAAGCACTTGGCTGTTAACTGAAAGGCTGGTAGCTTGAACCCATTGGTTGCCCAGTAAGAGAAAAATGTGGCAGTCTGTTTTCATAAAGATTTACAGGCTTGGAAAACCCTGTGGGGGCTAGCTCTAGACTGAAGGAATCAACTCCACAGTAGTGAGTTTAGGCTTGGGGTTCTGGAAACAAGTCTTAAGTAACATTTCTGCATGTTGCTGTTGTTGTTAAGTGCCTTTGAGTCAGTTCCAACTCATAGTGACATTGTATAGGGTTTCCAAGGAGCTGCTGGTAAGTTTGAACCGCTGGTAGCTGGAGAGAATTCATGTTGGGAGACTTGAGATGCCTCTGGGATCCTGCTAATCATACCAAGTGGCAACCCATGCATTCTTCCTGCAGTGGCTGCCAGCTCACCCCATTGAGAGCTATGCCGCCTGCAGAGTATGCGGAATACCACAGAGCCCTGGCTGGATGGTCAAAACAGGGCTGCCAGGCAAAGGCCTTCCATAGGGCCCTTTCACAGAGAAATGGTGGGAAATATGTCAATCAGGGTGAGAGATGGTTATGAAGTAAATGTATCAGCACAAATCTTCCCTCAGTCTCAATATTCTGATCACTGCCCCAGCCCCCATGCCCCACCCCCAGCACTATGAGGAAATGAAACTCCTGGTAAGTATTGTTGCCAACACTTCATTCACTGGGGAAGTTACTTTCTCCGCTACACCAAAATGGTCCCCTGGCTCTCAGCTTCCCATCTTGTCAGGCCCTCGGCCCTAGGCAGAGGGTAGCAACAGAACTTGCAAGAGAAACTCTCTTATCCCCATTCAGCTCCCTGACTTGCACTGTTACAAGGCCTGAAATGTCCCCACTGAAGCTCCTTTTGAGTTAAGACATTGGAGACTTTGATTAAACTGTGAATGTGTTCTTTGGGGAAGAGAACACATGAATCCATCACCATCCATGAGAACCTTTTCCTGAAAGAATATGCGAGCTTCACCCTGGCACTAATGGCAGAGTGTACAGCTCCATGATACTTTAAGTTCCTGAATTAAAGAAATATGAGAATCCAGTATTTTCATAAGCTTGACCTTAAAACTCATTAGATGGCAAATCTGACCAACTGATGTAAACTAGTTTTAGAGTTCTTAATAACTTAGTGGGCTTTGAACGTAAATTGATGCTGAAGAATTCGTATACTCTTCACTTACCAACTATCTTGATATCTGATATTTTACAACAATAGTAAAAATCTACTATATGACTATTTTGCTCATTAATATATGCCTGGCAGTAATGAACACTATAAGGTGCAAGGTAAGAGTAATGTGGGCTGTGATGGTTACGTGTCAATTCGATTTGGTAGTAGTTATGTAATGATGTAATTTGGAAGGTATATAATGACGCAGCCACCCTTCATTTTGTGATCTAATGCAGTCATCTTCCATTTTTGCGTAATGCCAAGTTTTGCATAATAACCTGGTCTTCCTAACCAAACCAGGTTGATAAGTGAGGAGTGGATCTATTTAATTATAAGGGTGCTTTCTACTACTCGGTAGACTTGAATCTGAAACATTCAGCACTCTTAAATCTAGCTCCATAGGAGTCAGAAAAGAGAGAATGGTCTTGGACTTGGGTAAGTTGGTTTTCCAAGGAAGGCATCCTGGAATTGTATAGAAAGAACATTACACTAAACACTCTGCAAACTTAACGTTGTTAAGTGCATCAAGTCAGTTCCAACTCATAGCCACCCTATATAGGGTTTCTGAGGAGCAGCTGCTGGTTTTGAGCTGTTGACCCTGTGGTTCCCAGTCCAGTGCTGATCCATAGTGCCACACCATTACATAAAAATGCTCACTTTGACCCTTATTGTATCCCTGTGAGATAATCAGAGAATACAGCAATAGCCTCATTTTACAAACAAGGATACTTGAGGTTCAGAGAATAAAACAGCTTCTCCATGGTCATTTAGTTTGCAAGTAGTACAGCTCAGGCTCAAATCTCTACAAAGCATCAACATGTGGATGAAGGCCAGTCCTGAGACTAGGCACAGATGCATTCTGGGAGATGCCTTTTCCCTGCTCTGCTTGTGCTTGAGTGCGCCCAACCCCCAGGGAGGCAGGCCTTTCCTGCCAATTCCTGTCTACAGTGCAACTCCTTCCCACACTCACCTTAACACCCATTGGACGGAGCTTGCATGCTATTTCTGCGTCATGTAGTGCATCCTCATGAGACTCCAAGGTAAAATAAATTTGAGACCGGTTGCTATAAAGTAAGTGGTCGTTTGGAGCTGCCAAAAGGAGAAAATACCTCATTAATGGTCGCCAGCACAAGCACTTGATAAGTTTTTGTGTGAGGATGGATTTTGAACAAGTGGCAGATTACCTAGGACTTCACTACTGGGAATCAAAGTGTTGGTTCAGTTTTCTGCTTAAACACTGCCTTGCCTATCACACACTCTACCACATCGGGTCTGAACTTTCACAACTGCAAACGCAATTTTAGTCATCCCCAGCCCCCTCCAGGACTTGCTTAGAAAGCCTGGGAAGTCAGTGTTACATTAAAGACTTTGGACAGAGTAGACCCCGTCACTCTGCTTCATGTCTTTACATTGCCAGCATCTTTGGAAGTTTTGCTTCCGAGTGAGGTGTATCACCAACAAGGAAGCAGAACAGATGGGGAGAAAGGAAGATGGCCAGATGTGACCCTCTCCTGGTCACCAGGAAAACAAGTCTAAGTCAATTGGGTGTGATGTCTGGCAACATTACCAGCATGTAAGCACATAGGAAGTTTTCCTAAGGAAAATGATAATGTGTTTAACAAGGCCCCTTCTTCTCATCACCAGTGGCCAAATGTACATGAGCATGGACCAGAATTCTGAGACTAGAATTAGAACAAAGCAGGGCATTTCGCTTCTGGCTCTTACCAATACACAGAGTCACTTGATGCCAGGACTGGGACAGACCTTTAGCGACCATATGGCTCAATCTACGCATTCTTCAGATGGGGAAAATCAAACCCAGAGAGGGACAGGTATCTGTTCAAGGTTACAGAGCTATATAGTAAGATTCATGGGTAACTGGTGAGCTTTAGAGCTGGGGTGGGGAGCAGGTTTCTTTTTCTGAAGAGAAACATTGGTCATCTTCCAATACAAAGACTTTCCTCTTAAAAGGGTGAAGTTTGTCTTGACATTACCCTCTTACTGTTCAGAAGGGATGAACAAGAGGTGCAAGGAAGAATTCCCAGGGAAAAGTGCTGGCAGCTACAGAAGAGAGAGAAATGGCTCTCCTGGCTCTTAGTGGTTGGCTAAAGGGAATGGAACTTCCCTTGGGGATTTGAGCTTAAGTGGCGTGCTTCTATTTCATTCATATCACCCTGTTCTTCAAGGATGGGACTCAAGATTCTGCTGCTGCTGTAGTAGAATTGGTTGGTTTGGTTTTGAGGGGGGTATCATTGGCTTGTTTGGTAGTTAAGCAAAGGAGCCCTAGTAACAACAGTTTAGCACTTGGCTGCTCACCAAAAGGTTGGTGGTTGGTACCTACTTAGAGGTTCCAAGGAAGAAAGACCTGGAGATCTGCTTTTATAAAGATTCCGACTGTCATCGAATCACTTCTGACTCATAATGGTCTTATATAGGATTTCCAATGCTGTAAATCCTTATGGGAGCAGACAAACGCATCTTTCTACCGCAGAGTAACTGGTGGATTTGAACCTCAAATTTTGTAGTTACCAGTCTTATCCTACAATGCCACCAGGGCTCCTTCCCCGTAAGGATTGCTACCTAAGAATACCCTATAGGATGCTTCTACTCTGGCACTGGGTGTCGCTATGAGTCGAAATCGACTGGACAGTACCCAAGAAGGAGACTGGACAAAGACTTGACAAGTATTTTTCTGTTCCTGCTCCCCTGTGGCAGCTCACACACAGAGGGCTCCTGGCTGGGCACAGAAAGCAGGGGAAGGGGGAGAAGGGGCGTCAAGCTTCATTTCCTCCCCCATTACCTGTTGCAAGTCGGGGTGGAGATTCAACACATAGAGACCCCCGCCCACCCCCTGCTCCTCCATTCTCCCAACCTGCCCTGGGCCCCTGCTCTGCTAAATGTCTTGTCCAGCTGCTGAGCTCCAGGTGGGAGGCGGAGCTGGGAGATCCCAGCCTGAGGCTAGGCCGCCACTTCCTGGCGGGGCCTGGAGAGCACCTCACTCTGGCAGCAGCTCCGGCGCCTGGAACCCAGTCAGGGCGCAGGGCGGCTAGCGCTGCCCAGGAAGCCGTCCAGCCAGCCACCCACGCCTCTCCCGGGTAGCACACAAATGGAGCAGAGGCGTGTCCTTGTCCGGTGCCACCTCACGGTCCCCAGGGGATCCCCCTATCCACTGCCCGGTCCCATCGCCCCTGGGCTCTAGGGGCAGGGGTGCGAGGTGAGCACGCGGGCTCCAGGGCTGTGGGTGGTGGGGAGGAGGGGGTGGAGCGCATCTATTTCAGCCTAGGATCCTGTGATAGGAAATGGTGACAATGAGTCACAGGGCAGCGGGACTGCGAGCGCTTTTCTCCCCCC